TAGCACCTCTGATGTCTTTAAATTAAGTTCATCCTTTTTAAGAATACTTACCATAGAGAATTTATATGTTTTAGACAAAATTAAATGAGTAAAAAGTTTGGACCTGTAGCTTAAAAAGATTAGCTATCTTTGATTTTATTTGCATATATGAAATCCAACCTAACTTTTTGAGGAGCTCCTGTTTCATATATGTCTTTCTAGATAATAAGGTTTAAAGCATGAATCGATTGTGCAAGAGGAATTTAGATGTGCTGATGTTTGCTTTCAATGCTTACAATCACTTATTATGAAAGTATTTGGTATGTTACATAAAATATGTGTGTGTGCACATCTGTCTGTCTATATGGGCTTAAGAGGTGGAAGGATTATGTTATCTTGCCATATCCTAATCTTCTTTTTACTTAAACATTGTAAAATAATATTGACCATAAAAACTTGCTAATAAAAATACCTGGGAAGGAACTAGCTGCTGTGTCCTGATATTAACTGTATAGTTGTGAACGTTAAATTTGAGAAACGATATAGTTTAAAAAGTACATCTAAGGCATTTGTATTGGATTAGACTCGTAATATTCATGTATTTACAAAGGGTAAAGAAGTCAGGCATTGCTCTGACTGTTGGAAGTAGGTGAAATATGAAAGGAACTCTGGAAATTCTTCCTGTGGAACTCACCAGGCTGTTTTCAAAATGCTTGTGTTTAATACAAATGTGCTTCTTTAGTGCAAAGTCAAATTTAAGATGAGATTTTATAGCTGAGAAAAAGCTAAATAAATCACTGGGATTTGAAATGCTGGCTAGGGTCTCCTGGTCTTTGGCGATGCTGTTTGCAGGGAGCTGAACTGCTGCTTCGGTCCCTTCCTGACTATTTGCAGAAAGATGAACTGCTTCTTGTGTGCCTCTCCTCCCAGTATATCTTAATTCAGCACCAAATTGACTAATTTGCTATCATTTCTGCAGTTTTCTGCTATTTGTTAAGCTTGGTTTAATGTTTAAGGCACTATTAAGTGTTCTGTCAGGAGATAGTAAAATGCTTTCATCAAAAATATATTACCAATACTCAGCAGAAGTCAATAACATCACCTGCTATCAAACAAGGCTGATTAGCAACTCTTCTTTTGAAAGACCCATTTAGAATCCACGACAAGCTGAAACATCTTTGTAGAAACACACATCATTTCTTTGTGAATAGACATTTAGATTATCTGATTTAAAATGAATTGGTTATTTCAGCTTCAGTTAAAGGAAATTGGTATCATTCTTCCTAACAAACTGCTGAAGAATTTAGATATCTCAATCTGATAATATTAAACTTCAATGTCATGATTAATCTAGATGCATATAAGAATTGTCACCTATTGAAATGATCCTTCATTAAAGCGGCTTATGTTAGTAATGTAAGTCTAACATTTATTATTTAAATACTTTCACGAAAGCTAAGTTTCTAAAGTAGAATTGTATCTGGTTAAAAAAAAATCACAGGAGAGGCAAAAGTTAAAGTCTATAATATATAAATATTTGATTGTATTAATAAAAATAATGTTCTGGCCACTAACTATCTAGTAATATAATTAGGAAACATTTAATTTATAGGCCCCCTTAAAAATATTTGGCTGGGCACAGTGGAATCTCAGTACTGTAGGAATAAGAAGTGAGACCTAGTCACTAAGACCTAGTCACTACAAATATTAAAAAAAAAAAAAAATTAAAAAAAAATAGTCAGCTGTAGTGAAGTGCTCCTATAGTCCTAATTACTTGGGATGCTGAGGTTTGAGGATTGCTTGAGCCCTGGAATTCAAGGTTGTGGTGAACTGTTATCATACTGCTCCACTCCAGCCTGGGAGACACAGTGAGACCCTGTCTTGGAATGAAGGAAGAAAGGAGGGAGGGAGGGAAGGGGGAAGGGGCGAAGGAGGGAGGGAGGGAAGGAAGGAAGGAAAAGAGAGAGGAAGGGAAGGGAAGGGAGGGAGGGAGGAAAGGAAGGAGGGAAGGAAGGAGAAAAGAGAGGGAGGCAGGAAGAGAGAGGGGAGAGAGGGAGAGACAGAGAGGAAAGAAGGAAGGGAGGGAGGGAAATCTTTACTCTTTTCTCTCATGCTCTCAGCCATGGGCAGATATTCAAATTATACAGAAAACAAAAGGCAAGGGTTCAAGGAATTTGGTTGAAGTATTGGTGCAATTCATGCATGATAAGACAAGGCTAGGTCACACTATAAACGTTCTGCTTTCTCTAGTGAAAGCTGATGATTATCTTCTTATGGTGAGCTCATCTTAGGGTGGAGGCGTTAAGAGTACACTGACTGGCTCGGCGCCTATAGCTCAACCGGCTAAAGCGCCAGCCACATACACCTAAGGTGGCGGGTTCAAATCCCCAGCCCAGACCCGCCAAACAACAATGACAGCTGCAACCAAAAAATAGCCGGCGTTGTGGCGGGCACCTGTGGTCCCAGCTACTTGGGAGGCGGAGGCAGGAGACTCGCTTGAGCCCAGGAGTTGGAGGTTGCTATGAGCTATAATGCCACGGCACTCTACCCGGGGGACAGCTTGAGGCTCTGTCTCCAAAAAAAAAAGAGTACACTGACTGATACACTTGTCAGAAACTGACAGATTTGCCCTTTCCTTATTAGGCATTCACTCTGATGATATAGGTTTAACATCTTGACCTTTTGCTAGAAATTTTTAGACTTTAGTCACATACATAAAATCAACAAAGCTAAAGATGTAAATGTATCTTCTGTATATAGGTGTGTACATGTCAACTCTACATATATTTTCAAATATGTGTGTATAATATATATAACATATTTATATAGAATTATTATAATATACATAACATATTTATATATACAGAATTATTTTTTCTTACACACCCAATTTTATTTTTATAACCACACAATAAAATGACATAATAGTGAAGAAAGACATCACGTCTCAGCATTTTGGCTGAGATCAAGTGTAATAGTCGAGGAACATATGTTATATGGATAAGGATATGTATATGGATAGGTATTCATAGTCATTTTTTAAATGTCATTTTTACTCTGTAGTGCTGGTTTTATTTTGTTATTGTTGTTAGAAAGAATTTCAATCTTTTCATCTCAAAAAAAATCCATTGGGCCAAATATTTATAATTAAAAGGTAAACAATTTTAAAATAATGTAACTGCTTAGAACAATAAGAATCAGAATAATAGAAATAAAACTATGCATGGCCAGATGGGAAAGAGTCCCCCAGTTTTGTGAGAACTTAGTGTATTTCTGGCAATAGATCTTAATTTTCACAACTATATTTAGGAGTGTACAAATCACATAATTATTTTAAGAATTAAATGAGATGCTCCATTATGAAAAACAAATTGAAAATGTTAAGTACTGTTTGAATTATAGTACTTTTTATTTTATTTATAAATTCAAGGTGTAAAATTTGATGCTTTTATATTCACATAGAGAAATGAGCACTAAATTTATGAAAATTTATGTATCTATCAATTTTCATAGTTGCCTTTGTATGTGGCTATGCCAGAGAAAGTAAAATCTGCTCTCAGCAATTTTTCGGTCTGAAAGATAATAGTTAGACATTAGATATATAAATTTACTAATCTTATATAAGTGCAAGTTTATAGCTTTTGACCTACTTCTACACATTTCCTCTGCCTGTCTATCCCTAGTAACCACTATTGTACTCTCTCCTTCTCTGGGTTTTACTTTGTATTGTATTGTATTGTATTTTTGAGACAGAGTCTCAAGCTGTCGCCCTGGGTAGGGTCCTGTGCTGTCACAGCTCCCAGCAACCTCAAACTCTTAAGCGATTCTCTTGCCTCAGCCTCCCAAGCAGCTGGGACTACAGGTGCCCACCACAACACCAAGCTATTTTTCTGTTGCAGTTGTCCTTGTTGCTTTAGCTGGCCTGGGCCAATTCGAACCCACCAGCCTCGGTGTATGTGGCTGGCACCCTGCTCACTGAGCTACGGGCACCGCCTGGGTTTTACTTTTTAGATTCTGCATAGAAGTAACATGGTGCAGCAGTTTTCTTTGTGTGTCTGGTTCTTATCATTTAGCATTATGTTCTCCGTGTTTATCTCTATTATATATGAAAAAAGAAGAACAATGGAAGAAGAAAATGCTAGCAATGGCCAAATGGAAACTTGGCCGTTGAATTACAACAGTTCACAATTTGCATAGACATTATTTAATACACACTATAATCCTTAGTTGTGGATAGTATTATTTGTTTTTATACATGATGGATATGAGGTTTAGAATTTGAGTGCCTTGCTCGGGGTCATGTATTTAACCAGGGACAGAGTCGGATTTGAAATCAGTTTGCTGTTAGAACTGGTGTGTTTATCCAGTAATCGGCTGACAGTGAAAACTCAGTAAAATTTTGTCCTAGTGCTTATCATGGATGAAAAATGCTGTAATTATCCCCTAGGACTTATGTTCTTCAGGAAATATTTCTTCTTTTTCTCTGCTGAGAGATTTATATGTGTCTAAATTTTCTATAAATATTTTTGAGTTTACCACTATAAAAGATAATGAAACTCTTGTTTAAAAAAAAAAAAAGAAAGGAAAGATAAAAAGAGAAAGACATTAAGATCATAGAGATGTTCAATTCTTATATACTATATGAACAGTGCTCAGAAAGTTTCCAGATTTTATTTATTATTCAAAAGAAGTTCTTCAAACTATGAATTCCTAAAGATCTCCTGGTGTAAGATCTCCAACATACTAGCCACTTTGTCATGCAGAAGCTTTTTGTAACAATTACATTGTCCTCCCATTATCTCCACACCTGAAACTTTGATGTACTATTCATTATTCCCATTTGGAAGAAGTAGCGGTCTCCCTTCTCAACTATCACCCTGCTTCCAGTACAAGGTGTCTTAGTAATTAATAAAATACATGCTTTAAGGGAAAGTATATATTTTCAATACACAAGGCTATTTCCAGAGGGCACGACAGAATATTTATGCTATCGTTTAATGGTGAAACTCACTTCTTTCTAGGAGCAATTTTTGATGAATCTGCCAAAAAAGATGATGAGGTGTTTCGCACAGCAGTTGGTGACCTTAACCAGAATGAGGAGATATTACAGACAGAGAAAATCACATTTTCAGTGACATTTGTGGATGGCAACAACCCTTTTCAAGCAGTTCAAGAAGGTAAGATCCATCAGCGGTCCACTATTTTGTTCGTTTGTTTGGTTGGTTGTTTTCAAATGAAATGAAATTTATACTAGTTTAAAAAGCTCTTAAGCATAGGAATAGTTTTTGTATATTTGCTGTTAATTGGGCATTGTTTTTGTTTGCTAAAGCTGCTTGGTAGATGTCAATTCTGCATTCCAAAGGACAGAGGGTGGAAAGTTACTGTATTAATTGAGCTATAATATGAAAATGTACATAAAAATTTACCGTTATGTGCTTTATCATTTGTTCTGACTGCAATGTAAATGAAGCATTCCTTAAAAATACCAATTTCTATCTGAATTTTTATTTGGGACTTCTCTGAGGTAACTGCCACCATGAGTGTTGTTACGACTTGCTCTGACATTTCAGGTGTACTCATGACAAATGTGTGGCCGCAAGGAAAACCTTTAGACGCTACACACAAATCACAGATTTTGTACTGGGATTATAACATACTGACCTGGGCTATAAATTGTTTACTCTCTACAAGGTACCAAATAGTGCAGCACTTTCCTTCATTCTCTCTGCTCACTAAATTAAAAATTTTCATTGGTACAAAGTAATACAAATACAGATTATTTTTATTATACTGGTGTGGTTGTTCCTGTTAATGAAAGTTTTGACTGAAAGGTTTTCTATGAAATAAATTTGGGGCTTGATGCCATGACTCTTAATGAAATGTTTAGCTCCTTGATTCGTAAAGCACCCATTGTTTATGAGACTACTGTATGTGTTGTTAATTGCTGTGGCTTGAATGCTCCCCCCATCCCACCACCCAAGGAATAAGACGAAACTTGGTTCCCATTGCAGTATAATTAGAAGAGGATGCTTTGGAAGATGACTAGGTCATGAGGGCTTTGTCCTCATAAATAGGATTAGTGTCCCTATCAAATGGACCCAAGGCAACTTGTCTGTTCCTTCTTCCAAAAAGGCACACTCTATGAAGCAGAAAATAAGCCCTCCTCAAACCCTGACTGTGTTGGCCCCTGTACCAGGGCTTTCCAGCCTCCAGAGCCAGGAGCAATGATTTTCTGTGATTTCTATGTTGCCTAATCTAAGGTAATTTTCACAGAAGCCCAAACAGACGAAGACACCAGTTAATATTTTATTGTGATGATATATTTAGACTGAAGGAAATAAATGCAAAATTAAAAGAGAGCATTCTTTAAAGCTTCAATATAAATTTAAATATGAGCTGGCAGGAGAAAAAAAGAGGATGTATCATATGAAGCAGTGTTTTTTAGGAAATTTTAAAAAATGCATACATTAAAGTGGTAAGAAAAACAAACATTAAGTATCTGAGAAAAGGTGTCCTTTTCATTTATTGTAGTATGTAATTGATATACAGGTAACCTGTATTGAAATATGTTTCTGATCAATAGTATTGGGTACTGTTGAAATTTCTTTGTGTTTACTTCTGTCAGTTAGAGAATAGACATGATCATTGGGACTCTAAATGGTTTTTTTTCTTTCTAATATGGTCAAGTAGAAAATATATTATTTTTATAAAATGGACAGATCTGCTTTAAGGAAAAGTTATTTTTACAAAGAAAGAATAATAATGTCTGCAATAACATGATGTTTTAATTTTTAACAATTAAATGTGAGTTTTAAACATCAGATGTAAATAATCAGAATGCATCCTGGGAGTTTGGAGCTTTAAATAATAAATGTGTAAAAACATTTTTATGGAGAAATTGAATAGCTGTCTAAATATGTTGATCTGGAAAATAATGAAGGAGAATTTGAAGAAGATACCACCAAATTTTTAAAATATATTCACTAGGAATCCTAGGTTACTCATTTTTGAGAAATGCTATCATTTTTTTCTTTTTCAATTTTTAAAGAAGACCAGAATGAGCACAGGAAAAACATGTGTGGAAATAAATGTTTTTTACTATTTTCTGAGTAATAACATTAATAATTAAAGGTATGCTAAAATGTTTATGCTTTTTGAACACCTTGACTGAAACAGGGGCAGGAATTAAAGAAATGAAGACAACAGCATACTTAGAAAGGAATTATAAAGGCAGAAAACATAAACAAATGCCTCAGACCTTTATTAGAGTACACAATTTATAAAGTGAAGGCAATTTTTGCTAACAGGTTTCTTCTGTGTTTTACGTTTCGGTTTGTACAATTATTCTGATGTCATCTCAATTCTGGGAGGAAATATCTTAAAAGAACCATAGTGACTTGAAAAAAGTTGTGGCCCTTCAAATTGAGAGAGGAAGTAAGTTTTCCAGATAAAGACCATTGCTATGTATTTGTCAAGAAGAAAAAGCCAGACAGCTTGCCTGATGGTTTCGGATACTAACAGGATGTTCTGGACCAGTTATTCTGATGGTTTGCTTTGAGTAATGAACGTGAAGTTCCAGGAAGCTAAAAATAATTTATTTCCCCATTCAATATCAACAAGGATTTTGGTTAATTTTTGAAGTAAAAACAATTCTCTTTAGAGCTGTTTTTATAAACTGTTGGTTTGAAAAAATAGGGAGAGTATTCATTTGAAAGAGAGTAAGAAAAAAACTGAAAAGTACTATTTTTTAAAATGATTTGAAGAAATAATTTAGGAGAAAATCTCAATAGTGCCATAGAAGATGGTCCATTTTCCTATTATCATGTATTTACTGCAATACTATTAAAATCTTTAATAGAGAGGGCCTTAAGTCACCTTTTTTTTTGACATTTTGTGAGGTTAGAAAATAATTAATGATATCACTGATTATTTCCAAATTACCATTCCTAATGAGCTCATAAAAATTTATAGTTTTGACTCCGTCTCTCCTCCCTGTTTATTTAAATTTGAAACCCTGATTCTGGAACAAATGGTAACATTAAGCATATAAATATTTGGAAATAATGATGAATGATAACAGTGATCATTCAAAGTATACCTAAAATATAATAGTCTGAAATAATGAATTCATTTCATTGTTAAGTAGTATTTTCTCCAGTAGCCATATTTGAGTTGATGTTTATTTCAAATTTAAATTTCTGTTCATCTTATCTTTCTCCTATCAACACTTAATTAGAGAAAGGAATTTAATGTTCAACAGACTATTTAATCCATAACAATAATAAAGAGTATTAGTATTACTGAAGTCACCCTTTGTAGCTTGGGTTGCAGTACATTTTTAGATACTAATTAATAATTCTTTTGAATACAAGTTTCTAAACAGATAGCTCGGTTATATAACATGGAGATCTGAATGGATTTGATCATTTTTCACACTATCTGTATCATCATCATGTAAAGTAAATGAACAGTAAAAATAATTATTTTTCATAAAATTAAGCTAGAAATAATTTCATATGGTGCTTTTTTACTTTCTTTTGAGTATATTTGTTCATAAGTCATTCATGCTTTGTGTATTGAGTGTGGGATGTTAACTAAGGGCAAAGAATGTTTCAAGAGATTTTTGGAATTTCTTCTTCTCTTGGGTAGACTGTTTGGGTAGCTGCTATGTAACTTTTTTCTTAAGAAGATGTATGAAAGACACAAACATTATAATGGCTATTTTAAAAAATGTAGATAATTACAAGGATGGACAATTATATAAATCCATTTGAATATTTTTACCATATAGATGAAATAACTGAGATATAGAGAGGTTTAGTAATTTTCCAAATTTCTCCTAGTGTGACCAAGCAAGTATGTAGCAAGAAAAAAAACAAACAAAGAAAAAACAAGCTCTTTACACCACTAATACAGCATTTTTCTTGCTACATCTATGAAATATACACAAACACATATAGACACAAATGTACACACACACCAGATAACACAGTGTATTACTAGACTCCACTGAACACTTTCTGTAAGGAGATGGTAGCAGATATATGTGTTTTGTTACGCATTTGATGTTTATTATTTATGTTTATGACATGGAATTATAGGTAGGTGGTGAACAGCAGTTGCATGGTATAAATCTTCTTTAGTTTTTTTTGGTCTTCGTTTTCCTCATCTTTAATGAATGAAGAAATCAGAACATAAATAATGTATTTTTATGTTCTCCTTCATCTCTGTGGTTTCGTGACTCTTTAGAACACATTTCTAGATTTAGAACCTTATAGAAATGACCATTATTTAGTTTCCCTTCAGAGAAGTTTTCATATTGCCGAAATCATCTCCTAGTTCTTCTGTGGTCGACTTTAACATAAGTTAAAAAGATGTAGACTAATCGTTGTCCTGCTACCTCATCTGCCTATTCACCAAAACCCCAGGAACTCGTTATTACCACCCAAATCTAGAAAGGGCCCTGTGCTTTTTCAGTAGACCTGGAACAAGGTAGATGTTGGTAGGCTTCTCTGTTTCTGTCTTACTGACTGTTTCCCCTGAGGCCTCTATCTGCTATCTATAACTAGATGCACAAATGTTGGGTGTGAAAGACTGCTATCTCTACTGAAAGTAGTCACAGTTATTTATGCTATTAGCTTTTTAGCTGAAACTAACTTAATATGGGCCATAGAAGATAGGAATTTTCAAGGAAATCACATTATGTTTTCAAGAAAAGTGTAGTACATGTAAAAAATGCTCACATTTAAAGAGTGTGGAAATATGGATCGATGTACAATTCATATATACATTAGAAATGTCAGGAAGCATTTAAAACATCAGACATTGATATAAAATGGCAAGATTTGGCTAAACATTTTAAATAATTGCCTTCATTAGACAAACACCCAAGAGTGAAATACACAATGAATGTAACGGCAGAATTATACTATGGAGTCACAAATGATTCTGTTTGAAAATAAATTATCTAACTATATTAATTACTTTGCTGTAAAGCATTATAAATAGTATTATTGTAATTAATAGCATCACATTTATTAAAATGATCCAGTGGTTTTAAAATATATAATTTTGAGTTATTTTATCAAAAAGTATGAGTCAGAGAAGAAACATATTCTTATTGAAAAGTGCAGCAATAATATTCATTACAGTCAAGCAATTGCAATGTTGATAATAT